GAATGGGAGTGATGATTGGATGGCTGGGTGAGTGATTATGTGGTTATGTGAAAATCGTGTGATTATGAGAATATGGGCCTTGCACCTTTTTGTCTATGGAGCTCTCCACTGGAGATCTTACATGATTTTATCACTGTAAGCAGGTGTATATGTGTACACCTGCATATTTCACATTATGTTAAATAGTAGGTACACCGTGACACCACTCATTATAATTTGACACGAATTTGGCTGTACTGGGGGTAAAGCAAGCCTCTCTTCTCAAGTGCAATGGTGTTATAAAGTGACTCTGACACAATATATTTTTTAGGTCCTGACCATAGTCTAGTGTATATACTCTAAGACACTCAAGAATTTCACCATAAGGCTGAGTTGGGTAGACGTATCGTTTTGTGTTGAATGTAAGTAGGCCTAGTTATTAAAGTATCACTAGGATCCAAATGCAAGATAGGGTTTTGTGGTTTTTTTTTTTTAAGATTTTATTTATTTACTTGACAGAGATCACAAGTAGGCAGAGAGGCAGGCAGAGAGGGTGGGGGGTAGGTGGGTGCTGAGCAGAGAGCCCGATGCAGGGCTCGATCCCAGGACCCTGGGATCATGACCTGCACTGAAGGCAGAGGCTTTAACCCACTGAGCCACCCAGGTGCCCCTTCATAGGACTTTCTTAATCTAATGTATTTAAAAGATTGGTCAGTGAGTTAGTGGTAAAGCATAGGAAAGATTCTTTGTATCTTGTATATTTGTATTCTTTGTATCTTGGTTTGGTTTACTGCTTTTTCTGGATAACTTCTTTTTTGAGTCTAAAGTCTAAAATGACCAATATGACCTATAAGACTGTACCCCTCTCTAGACTCTTCTCATGCCACTCCACCCTCACTTAATAGTCTTGCCACATTAGCCCTTTTTTTGGTTTTTTGAAATCTTATCTACTTTTCTACCTCAGAGCCATAATAATCAGTGTTCTTTTTTCTGGAATGTTCTTTATAACCTTTCCATCTGGATAATTCTTACTTAAAGTATTACTTCCTTAGAGAAGCTATTTTGATTCTCCAGACTGTGTTACATACCTTTGTCCCATCATCTTTTGACATTCTGTATTTTTCTTTCTTAGCACCTAACCATACCTAACCATAATTCATAATTATTGTCTAAGCATTTAGTTAATATCAGTTTTTCTTTTTAGCTCCGTTAAGGCAGGGACTATTTCAGAGTTGCTTGTTGTTGCACCTCCGGTTTTTAGCATAATGTTTAGTTAATGGTAAGCGTTTGATAAAGATTGACCATGGAACAGATTCATCAATGTTGGAATGTGCCTGCAAGGTGTAATGGTTGGTTCATCATACAGTCATTTCTACTTTAAATGGTGATGTTGAATGAGTGTCCTTCTAATACCAGTGCTAATTAGTTATGCTGTCTTGATGTGGTACTTCTCTTTTGTAGTCCTCCGTCCATCAGCGGAATGAGGAGGTGAGACTAGACTAAATAATCTAGGAAGACTCCTTCAGTTTTGGGGCTAAGTATGGCATTTTTCAACGTACCAAAACTCTTAATACTGGCTACTTTATTAAACCTAAACTAATAGTAATACAGGTGGAATATTTTTAGCCATAAAATGGTAAAAGCATTTCTTAAAATGCTCCCATAAAATATGAGTGATTTTATGATTTCGAAAAAAAATATTTAGCTAGGCTCATTTTTTACATGTATGCACTGTATGTCTTTTATATATCTTGGATAAAGAAATAATATCCCAAACAACCACTGAACATTTTTCAAAATTGAAATGGAAAAAAATCTATATTTACAGTAACAGAACAGTCTTCACCAAAGTTTACATGTTTATGAGACTCTGGCTAAGCCTGTTATAAGCTTTACTACATTGTTGGTTTTGTAAACCTCAACTGTGTTTGGAAATGAATATTCATCATTATATCACTGTGACTGTGGACTGTGATCTCCGAATCCTATCTGGAATGACACTTTTGTAAACTCTTATGCCATAGTTAATTAGAGTTTAACCTTTCTTTTTCCCAAACCATTAGCCCACAAAGGAGTTTTTGAACTAAGGCTATTTATTTGAATAACTCATATTTTGTGTTCTTCCAAAAAAGGATACAGCAACATTTAGAGAAACTTAAAGTTCATAACTAATTAGACTGAGAAGCAAAATCGGTACTACCCCACAGTTGCTGCTCAACAGCAGAATTTGTGTCAGAAAAGTTTGAGACAGGTGACTGAAGTTAACAGTTATTGAAAAACTTTCTAGTTAACATTTTAACAAATGACTTCAAAAGAATAATTTCTGGCGAAACAGCATAATTTAATCTAGGCTGGGCTTATTTTCCTTTTTTTTTTTTTTTTTTAACTCAGCAGCATAAAATTAGTTGTTATATACGACAAATATCATCACATACCGCTTCTGTTGCCTCATTCGTAGAGAATATCTGTCCTTCCTAACAGCCAGTGATTTTATATAGTATGTTAATCGTGAAAACATTGATTGGTTATCTTTCATGTGCAAGGCACTATTTTTGCTGCTACGCATTCAGCAATAATCAGGTGGATGGTGACTTCAGTCAGCTGACAGTCTATCCAACATGATAAGACGTGTGTGCACAACTAAACACAGGTTTAAAAAAAAGTGGTAAGTGGCACAAAAAAGGTGCACATCGGATGTTCAGGGTCTATATCTTACATCTTCTCCAAAACCATGTGCTTGTTGCAAGACTTTGAATCCTCCCCAGCTTCTAACACAGAGACTTGCATATAGAACATCTTCAATTAACATTAGCTTAGAAGATGAGGTGTCTTGTGAAATCGTTTGGTAAACCTGCTCCTATTCAGTGAATGGCATTCTTTTTTATCTAGGTCAGATCTGAAGTCTTCAGTCTGAAAAGCATGGTACTTACATCTAAAATTATATATTTTGTTAGACAGGATGTGACAATTTTTACTTTCATGAGCGCCTTCTATCTTTATATTGGGCTCTGTTTTCTGGTTTTTATTTCAAGGCTTATTCTACTCAATCTTATCTGGTATCTTACTGTCCAGCTGACCCAGCTCTGTAAATTCATGGCATGTGGCTATGCTGCTTCTTGCCACGCACGGTCAGTGATCACAGCTCACAAGGAATTCTGAGGAGTCTCGGCACTTCTGGGGTCTTTCCTCTTAGGTACAAACCACCAGAAAGCGATATGAAATAAATGGTTATCAAAGCTTTAGAGGAAGCAATTTACAGTATTTCTAAAAAGCAAGAAACGTCTATATTGTTCAATATGAAGGTTATCTGAATTTAGTCAGCTTTCTAAAAAATAGATTTGTTCCTGAGGGTTTGTTTTTCTGTGTTGTTGTTGTTTTTTTCACTAGTTGAAGTTCCCTGGGAAGTCAACATTGAGTAAAATTGACTTTCTTCTGATCTTGTGAATTATAGAGGGAAAATGAAGGCATAAATGATACGTAAGGACTCTCGCCTCTCTAAGATTCCATGACTCTTTAATACTCAGTAGGAGGGCATATTGGTCATGATGCCGGATACTGTGTGGTGGACACTTTCTCAGCTCTCAACCGTCTTCACTCCATTCAGTAGAAAACTTTTCTTCAGTGGCTTTATCCAAGCAGAAAAATTTCAGAAACTTCACTTGCCCCCGCCCCCTTTGAAGACACCTGGCTGCATTTCAAAGGAAAAGGATACCGCACAGTAAAAAGGAAACAGAAAAGGCAGCCTTTTCTCCCCCTAAGTTCTAGCAGTTTGACTGACTCTTACTTGTGAATTTTTCTTGCCACTGAGTCATTGCACATACAGAATTATGAAACTTTAATTTCTTTAGAGGCTTGTTATATTAGAAAAATTGTTCCAAAGAAAGCAACAATCATGACATAAGCACATCTGGCTCTTGCAAATTATTCTTTATTAAGCTTTCATTTAATTACATGTGCTGAAAGGTCTGTTTTTGATTACTGTAATTTTTTTTATTTGTCCATCTGAATGATAGTAATGCTGGAAATTACACACAAACCACCTGTTTTTTTTCCCCCCCTTACTAATATAGCAAAGTTTGAGCTATTTTCTCTGTGGTTGATGAACTAGGAAGCTTTCTATTTATTATGCTAGAAATATGACTATCAAGGTAATGGCTTAATCTTGATTATAAGAAGAAAAGAAAATATTTGAATGGAGTTTCCAAGCATTGAATACTGTGAGGACTGAGGTATCAGAATTCTGGTTAACCATAGCAGGTTAACACATTCATTTATTACCAGTTTCACCCAAAAGCTATTAATCAACAGTTAGGGATTTAACATCCTGTGTTGGAAAAAGAAGCTTTATTTTATTTCGTTTCATTTCATTTCATTTCATTTCATTTTTTGGTCTATAATCTGGCCATATTCTCTTGAGGATTATGTTATATGCTGCTGAGAAATAAGACCTCGAGGAAACAGTGACTGCTGTTGGGCCTCTGGGATCTTTAGGGCAGCATTCTTATCATCCAGAAGGATCAGCATCCCCAGAGGGGCTTGGTCAGTATTGAATAAGAACAATGTTCTTCCAGGAATCCCTAGGAAAGTTCAGATTAGTTACTTAGTTCATGAATATTAAAATTACATGGATGGACATACTGATATTTGAAGAACTTTTTATAACAATTTTAGGCACTAGAAAGAATCATAGAAACCATTTAGTCAAATTCCTTTTTGTACCGAAGAAACGGAGTTCTAGAGCAACCAAACTCTTTCTTCAGGTCCATAAAGTGATTGCCAGAAGGACCAGGAACAGGACGATGGCTCTCATGCTAGTACTCTTTCTTTATATTATTTGGTCTCTCTTATTTCCTCTTTAAAAAAGTAGTGAAAGAGAAATTGCAAGGCTGTCAGAGAAATAGTTATCTAACAATACGGTAAGTTTTTTTGTTTTGTTTTGTTTTGATTTTCCACTTTTTGTTTCGTGAAACTCAATTTCAGCTGCATTTAAAAAGATAACGTTTGTCTTCCCTGTTTTGCAGCAGCTCTATGCAGCTCAGCTGGCCAGCATGCAGGTGTCACCTGGAGCAAAGATGCCATCGGCTCCACAGCCACCAAACACAGCAGGGGCAGTCTCACCTACCGGGATAAAAAATGAAAAGAGAGGGACCAGCCCTGTAACTCAAGTTAAGGTACTTGCTTTGCAGGATTGTGAAAACAGTTTGGAAAACAGCTTCACAAGAAAAGTAGTGAATGAGACTGGGATGGGAATGAACAGCAGGAAGCATAGCAGCATAAAGGAACCCCAAATGCTCCTCATTATGGTAAATTTCATGATTGAGCACTGAGAAACAGGTGTTTCCCTTTTGATAACAATAGTGCCATATTGTGAGATCTTTACCTAAATCTGCAAACTCACTTCTCAGGAGTTTTTCCCCTTTGGATTCTGGCTTTTATTTTTTAATGTTCACTGGCATGAATGGCCATGGTTTTATTGCCAGTCTTTGTCATAGACTTGTGACACTTTCTCTCAAAATTCCTTAAACAGGTGGGAGCCAACTTATAGTATCAGGAAAGGAGGTTCTCAAAACTTTAGATTTAAGAAAAGGGGGACGGAAAAGAATCTATGGCTGAACTTCATATAGTTTGTTGATAAAGGTCTCTCCTTCAGGAATAGTTAATGTGGCTCTGAGGAATGAGTGGTATCATTATCTATTCATTCTTTGATGCCTTGTGGTTGAGAGGATAAACAGGCTCTCCCAGGTTATGGCTGGGACAGTGATAGAGGCCTTTCCTCACTAATTCTCGGTGTCTTAAAACGTGGCACCTGGGCAGTATTTGGCGACAGAGGAAAATGGATGATATGCTCCAACTTTGTGCTGCAGCTGGTACCTATAGGTGGTACTGGTTGGTTTTTATAATATAGTTCAGAGAAACAATTGCTTTGTATCATTGACTTATCTACTTAGAGGCATATGATAAGCACAGAGGTATTACAATAATACATTACAATAATGTACCCAAAGTACTACATTTGGAGAAACTTTGCAATTATTAAATTTTCGCAAGGGAAACATCTAAGGCCAACAAAACAGCATCAAATGCTACAAAACCACTGAAATTATTTTATTTTCTATAATGTGCAGATAGGAATTAAACCCATGCTTTAAATTCTCCAGAGAAATAGATGAATATTTATGCTTTGTTGTTAGAAATATTGAGGTATGACAATAGGCAGCTTACATTTAATAAGGTAACATTACTTATGGAAACAGGCTGTCTCTTTTGTGTTCCAAGAATTTCTGTTTGTGAATAAGAGGCAGAACACTACAACTAAAACCAAAGCACTTTGTTTAATTATAGTTGTTAGAATATGAACATATCAAACATTTTTTACTTCAGATATTGGGTATTAGATATTTTAACATGAAAAAGTCATTTTGTAAGTGAGTTGGCCAAATGGAACTGCACCAAACCAAGCCTTTACTGGATGAGTAAAATGTTCCCTGGTTAAATTCAAGTTTACATCTGCTTTTACCATTCCAGCTTTGTGGGCCAACTGAGTTTTATTACTCACTCCACCACATGCAAATTCTTAGGGAGTTCTCTATATAATTTGACTTGACTATATTTTATGTTAATAACAAAGGAAACATTCTTTATGCTTACTATATTGTTTATTATATGTGTGGGTAAAAATATATAGGTCAGGGCATGAAGCAAATTTTTTCAATTTAAAAAAAGTAGATTCTACCTATTACTGAAGAAGTTCTGAGAATAATCTCATGAATTGGCAATTGAATGGATTATGGTCACTAAAATATAATTCTGTCTATAATCATTGCTTTCCCTCTGTATATAACATGACCACATGACATAGGGCACCTTTTGTTGAAGGTAGCAAAATTAAACACAGATGGTCTTATACACCTTCTTTCACTCGGAATTTTTATCTGCTATAATTATCAACATCAGAAATCAGAATTTTTTTGGTTCAAATTTTAGTTCTACCACTTTTACCATCTGTGTCACTTTGGGCAAGTTACTTCTTTCAGCCTTAGTTTTCTGCTCTGAAAAATGAGAGTTAATATTATGGGCCTTAAACCCTCTAGCATATAGTGAGTATTCCATAAATGTAAGTGTAGTGATGATTGTGATGATGATGATCTGATGAAGATGATGGTGGTGCTGGTGATGGCGGTTGTAAGTGAACTATCCATTTGTATAACAAAAGAGAGCCTAATTAAATACCTAGAGGAGTTCCATTTTCAGCTGTAATGGAGGATCAGAGTTTGCCTCCAGCTTAAGCAACTGAAACACAGGACAAAATATATAAAACAATGATTCTCAGACATTTGCAATACGATTAGAGGACAGTGATTCCTGAGAGAAGAGACACAAGTGAGGCAAATACTACAGTTATTCCAGCTTACTGTCTAAAGGTAGTTTCTAGGTCATAGTGCAAAGACGGGTACCCACATGGAAAATGGCAGGCTCTCTGAGTAGAGACATAGAGTTCAGAGTTTTGGGATACCAAGGTAGGCAGAATTTGTGAGGTAGAGTACCAAGGAGGAGAGAGCTGCTCACCGAGAGAATACTGAAAATCTGTAGGAGATTCCCCTGTATTTAGCTGAGTATGGATCGGCATATGCATATGAGGAAACTCTCTGAGGAATGAGGAAAATACCAGATGTAGCAGGCAAAGCACCTGCAAGATTCACAAATGACTGAGAATGATTTGTGTTCCCATTAGCCAGAGTGGAAAGATCCTCTGACATAAGGGGTATCAAGTAGTATTGCCCAAAGGGTGATACCTCAGTAATGAGGCCAAATTATCCCTAGATTAGTGGCTTCTCTGAACCTACCACACAAACTTAAAAGCAAGCCTAGAAAGGGCCAAACTTTTCTATGTCTCAGAACAAAGTCCTCAAAGATTTGAAAGAATTCATGAACATGAACTCCAACATCTAGCAATGTAAAATTCATAGTGTGTAGCATCCATTCAATAATTACCAGGCTTTTATAAAAGCAAAAAAATATGAATAATAATAGGGAGAGAAATCAATCAATAGAAACAGATCCCAAAATGGCACAGATGATAGAGTTAGTAGTTAAGACAGTAGTTAAGACAACTACTACAGAGTCACTGAGCTATAGCCAAATGAAGAGATAGGCAAATCTTGCTCCTAGAAAACACCCATGGAATTTCTGTCAGGCTAGGGCATGCTATGAGAACCAATATTGGGCCTGCCATGGTGAAAAAGAATTTACTTGATTGGGAGTTGGTAGATGCTTCCCATTCATGCCCAGCAGCATTGTTGGCAGAAGTGGCAATCATTGAATTATAAAAATAAATAATCAGGGTATATTCAAAGCTGGGAAAAATAGATGTTATAAGCTTTATATGTTTAAGAAGATAGAAGAAAACATGAGCATTATAAGGTAGGACGTAGAACACATCCATGGAATGTCTGGGAGATGAGAAATATGGTATTTGTTTGTTTTTGTCTTTGTTTTTGTTTTTAATTAATTTATTTGACAGAGAGAGAGCACTAGTAGGGGGACTGGCAGAGGGAGAGGGAGAAGCAGGCTTTCCACTGAGCAGGGAGCCCAATGTAGGGCTCGATCCCAGGACTCTGGGATCATGACCTGAGCCTAAGCAGACGCTTAACCAACTGAGCCATCCAGGCACCCGAGAATTATAGTTTTTGAGATGAAAATTGTACTGGACTAGTACTGAGTGGATTAGACATCAGAGAAGGAAAGATTAGTGAACTTGATGACAGAATGATGAAACTATCCTAAATGAAATATATAGAAAGAAGACTGTCAGTGCTGTGAAACATCAACTGGCCCAATGTGTGCGCCCAGAACCCCAGAAGGAAAAGGAAGGAATAGAAAAAATATATTTGAAGAAGTAATGGATGAAAATTTTCCAACTTTGAAGAACAGTCTGAACTCAGATACCTAAGAAGCTCAGTGAACCCCAAATAAAACAAACATGGAGAAAACTAGATACCTAGCCTAGAAGTCACTATTATTTAGATAGAAGTAAAGGAACTAATTAGTCTAAATATTCTTTGAGTGAAGAGTAAAGAGAAGTAAATTGTAATCAAGCACACAAGACATTTTTTACATGCATAATGATGCAGTCGTGTTTCCTAAGACTCCATCCTATGTCTAGATATAAAGATAAATGCACATTGCAACAGAGATATGCCAGATTATCTATTTCCCACCAAGACAAAAAAAAAATTCACTACGTTATCAAATGACTTATTTTCTTTGATAGTTTAATAGAAAAGGGACCTGGGATTTGGAGTCCAGTAAACTAGAGTTCAAATGTTGTCCTTCCATATATGACTCTGAACAATGATTTTGTCACTCTGACCCTTCCTCCTTTGTGAATTTAGAATAATACTGCCCAACCTCATAAACTTACAGACTTATAGTTAAATGAACTAATATACGTGAAAATATCTAGCACAGTGCTTGGTGTATATACTGGCTTCTCTGTCCATGTTGTTTCTATGTTCTCTCTCTAATCTTCCTCCTGAGTAGCCTTTTCTGGAATCTCTTTCTGTCCTCCCTTAAATGACCATGGTACTAGGGGAGAACTTAGAGATTAGCTAGGATCAGGCTCTCTTCCCAAAGGGGAGAATGTTCTGTTTCCAAGCTCTATTGTGTTTTAAAAAGTGACATTAATAAAATTCTCTGTGCCTTCTCAGAAGCAAAACAGAAGTTAACATTTGCTGACAATTTTACTGTAGAACACAATAATATAGATCTTAAAATTGAACATTTAAATGAGTATGTTTATATTACAACTAAGTTTCTAAAACAATGGACATGTTGTTATATGTCTTTAACTACAGGATGAACGAGACAAAGGCAAGGAGTTTAGCTTTCAAGCTCCTGGTTACACTAGAGTTACAAGTCAGATACTTGAATACTGTGCCCAGTATAGAAGGACAGGCATCTTAAAATAGACATTCTGTAAATATACGTAGCAAAGAATATAAAGAGACATCACTTTAGACATGAAAAATAAATTACATATAGCATGGGATGTAAAACATAATTATAATGTGTACTTGCTCTTTGCAAAAATTAATTTTAAACCTGAATAGAGACCAGAATTTAGACCATGAGGGGTGTCCACACCCAGAAAGCCACATAGAAACCATGCTGTGGCATGTGGCTCCCTGGGCAGAGGCCCAGGAGAGCAGAAGAAGCCTGTGTTTCCATTTTTAAAGTACTTGCAATTGTTTGATTTAAAATATATATTAAAAAATTAGCTGCAGAGCCTATTTATAGTTGCAGGAACTTTTCAGAGAGAATAACACAAAAGCACTACAGAGCCGCTGAAATTTTAAATAATTCTTTGTAAATGCCCTAGGTTAATTTAGATCCTTGAAAACACATTAGGAAATTAAGCTGTAATGTGAGCTAATTCAGATTTTAATTTGGCAAAAAGAATGATCCAACTACACAGTTAATGTAAATAGAAGCATAACACAGGGAAATTAATGAGGTTTCCTTCCGATGAATCTTCAAGGAGGTAGATAATTAGCTTCTTTTGTTATTATTGTAGGAGAATGTGGCATTGTCTCTGAGGTGTAAAATAACTGTGGCTTACTAAGTGATAATGTGCTTCATTTGTCTTTTTTTTTTTTTTAATAATTATTTATGTTAAACTCTTGTAGGATGAAGCAGCAGCACAGCCGCTAAATCTCTCTTCCCGACCCAAGACAGCGGAACCTGTGAAGTCCCCAACATCTCCCACCCAGAGCCTCTTCCCAGCCAGCAAAACCAGCCCCATTAATCTGCCTAACAAAAGCAGCATCCCCAGCCCCATCGGAGGAAGCTTGGGAAGAGGATCCTCTTTAGGTAAATGAAAAGGTCAACAACATGAAGAGATTTCTGAATTAGGTAAAAGAAAGCAAACCTGTTCAGGGATGACTGATGCCTGTTTCCAAAGTGGTCCTTAGTCCAAGGGGGAAAAAAAGAAAAAGTAAAAGTAAAATCCTTTCTACTGAAACGTGACCCCTCTTGGTATCTTGGGTGATTAGAACTTTTGGAAAAGGTCATAGTATAAATCCTTTGGGATGGGTTCTTTAGAGGCCGCAGTTAGATACAGCAAATCAGAGACTTGGGGATTTCTGTGCTTGGTTAATGCTTTGCCCGAAGTAACTCTAGGCAGACAAGAGTGATCATGAACCCTCCAAGGGCCTAAAGGGACCTGGCTTCCAAGCTGCCTGCCAAAAGTCCAAAGTTTCTTTGAAGTTTTATATTTTCTTTTTAAAATGTATGTGAATTTTGCGTCTTATCCCATATTACTTTTGCATTAAAACAAATGTGAATGACACACACACTTCAATGACATAATATGAAATAAAATTGATATCTGATAAGATATGTCAGAATGATCCTCAGGCTTCTAACACTCTCTGATATATTGCCAAGTATCTCCAGGGACACTCATAGCCCAGTGAGAAGGATAGAGGGAAAACATGGGTTTTGGCATCAGACAGACTTGGACTCAGAGCCTACACTTACTTGTTATGTGACCCTGGGAAAGTTACTTAATATTTTTGAACTCAGTTTCCTAATCTCTTAGAGGGGAATATTATTACCTAGCTCATAGTTTGTTATGAGAATTCAGGGAGGAAAATGCATATAAAATGCCCAACACAGTGTCTGGCACCTCAAAGGCATACAATCTAAAAAAAAACTAGACTGAACCAATACCAACACATTTACACATACATGTGGAATGAAACAATAAAGGTGAAAGCATTTGTCAGCAGCAGAGTGCCAAATAAGTATTAGCATGTTGTTACTAAGCCTCTTAATTTTCATATGAGACACAGAGATAACAAGGGATTGGGGGCTTAGAATTATGTTTCTTCACCGCATTACCTTCCTTGCCTTATTGAGTCCTGGAGCCTGAAACACTTATTATAATAAACAAAATAATGTGTTACGTGTAACCATTTGCCGTTGAAAATCCATTTTTGACTATATTATCTCATCTGATTTTTCACAATCATCTTATGACATAGTGCATTATTACCCTCATTGTATGATGAAGTAAATGGATTCTTACAGGTAAAATGGCTTGCCCAATGCCATGTAGCTATGAATGAGTAAAACCAAGACTAGAATCTGGGTCCTCTCACCTGAGTTAAATAAACTCAGTGTTCATTTTTTGTGAATTCGCAGTTGGAGTATTTGCTGTACTGTGTTGGGTTTAAGTAAATCTTCTGATGGGGAGATATACCTCTTCCTTATTAAAACTTGGGATATTAGGATCCATAAAGCAGCCTATTCTCATTTTGAGTCTGGCTGCCTCTGCAGGGGACCGGGAGGTTTTCACTCCACGTCCGTGAAATTCATGTGGGAGAAAGAAGGGAGTCATTTCCAGTATGTGAATATGGTTGCTGGGTTGTTGGAAGTTGTGAGATAAGAGAGAGGGGAAAAAAAAGCCAACTTAGGGACAAATAATAGGCTTGATCTTGAAATGGCTTTAATGGCTTTCCCATTGCCCACTTCTGAATTTTGTTTGGACGGTATTTGTTTGCTCTACTGGGCATTGTGAGGGACAAAGATGAGTATGTCACAGGCCCTGCTCTTAGAGAGTTTATACATCAGCAGAGCAGATTTCTTAGATCATAAGCTAGAAATGGGCTGAAGCAATCACAATTTCGTTCAGTTGGTGTTGGATAGAAATGTTCTGTTTGGTTTTTATCAGAAAAGCTCCAGAGTAAACGCTGAGGGGTTTTCTATATCCCAAGAAGCAACTATTTGACCGTTAAACAATTTACTATAGATAGCCTTGGGAATTTTTTCTAGACTCATGCATATATACATGTACCCCCCCCCCACACACACACGCATGGTGTGGACTTGACTCTAGTCTGGTTTCCTCTGTCCTGTCTGAGGTGTATGCGTGTGGACACACATGCATGTGCGATGAAATGTGCATATGAGGATACAAACAAGTGGATCACATTAAACTTGACCACAGCAGCTGAAATCGATCAGTCAGCAAGCAGTTGCCTTCTTTTGGTCTAAGAATTGGAAAAGCTTGTGTAAAGTATTAATTTTAACCCACAGTAAAATGCAAGATACTGAAGAAAATTAGGCAGTTTAATTTTTTTGTTCTGTCTGAGTTGTATGGAATATAACGAAAGTAAATATTTGTTCTCACTTTATTTGAAGCTTTGTACTGATGTGAAAACCATTCCCACACATACAGCCTCCCCCTCAGGAAGACAGGGAGCTGAGAGCAGTAGGTGTTTGGCTCGGGGTAGGGAATGGGTTGTCATTCCCTGGGTAAATAACTGAGGCAGCATGGTGAGTAGAATGCTTCATTAGCCAGCCAGTGATTGGGGAATGGAAAGTGCCGCGCGTTGCTTCCCGCCCCCTCTCTCCTGCAGTGGACATAAGAACACACAGATAAAGATGTCGCTGAAGTACACATGTAGACTCAGAGTTTTCCTGCTAGGCGAGAAACCGCTTTCCTGCATTAGTATACCCAGTGTACCAGGCATCCTGAATAGATATCTCTGTACCTCTCCTCACCCGCTTCTTCCCTACTACTCCCCTACTAATTGTTAGATCTCACCAAAACACACACACACACACACATTGGCAGCTGGAATCTAGGAACCTTCCTCTGTGAGAAGGTAGGGTGACAGAGCCCAGATTAACTGGAGTGCTGGGGTATCCTCCAAGGGCTGAAAGGCCAGAAAGTCTTGGTTTCCTGGTGCTCTCTGATTAGTACGGCAGTTTTCTTTTCTTTTCTTTTCTTTCTTTTTTCTTTTTTTTAAGATTTTATTTATTTATTTGTCAGAGAGAGAGAGAGTACACACAAGCAGGCTGAGTGGCAGGCAGAGGCAGAAAGAGAAGCAGGCTTCCCACTGAGCAAGGAGCCTGATGCAGGACTCGATCCCAGGACCCCAGGATCACGACCCGAGCTGAAGGCAGTGACCTAACCAACTGAGCCACCCAGGCGTCCCGTACTGCAGGTTTCTTAAGAGCAAACACACCGCTTCCTTGCTCAGAGAATGCAGCACTCTACAGGGGAGTGGCAGTATTTTGTTAGCATCTAATCTCGTTGGCTTCTAATAAAGCATCCTGTGTATGCAGATATCCTGTCCAGTCTCAACTCCCCTGCCCTGTTTGGAGATCAGGACACAGTGATGAAAGCCATTCAGGAGGCTCGGAAGATGCGAGAGCAGATCCAGCGGGAGCAACAGCAGCAACAGCCTCATGGTGTTGATGGGAAGCTGTCCTCCATGAATAATATGGGGCTGAACAACTGCAGGAATGAAAAGGTAAAACTTGTTTCTCTCCTTCACTGGCAATATTAGACCCATTGGCTTATTCTCATCTGGCTCTTTCCAGGCAGCCGAAGAGCTGGGCTTCTAGCTTGGGGGCTGGTTTTTATCACTTTCAAGCATTAATGCCGATGAACACATACACCCTTTCCCACTTACTGTGGGGTTGCCTCCCACGCACCCAACCAGGCACCCAACCTGGCATTCACCCTACCTGCCTATTGGTGTTTTTCTGTCCCATTACAAAAGATTTAAAGTATTTTATAATGGAGGGGATATATGAGGTGATTAGAACGGGAATAGAAGGAGGAAGAAGAGTATATACTCATGATGAAGGCTACTGTTTTACTATGACTCACTATTGAATTTATTACTAAGTTTCTTATCAGCCAGAGCAAAAAATAAAACAACTTACGAATGCATTCATTTATTTTTTGATTCAACAAATTACGTAGTAGACACTGTTCTTGGCATAGGAGATACAACAGTGAGCAAACCAGACAAAAATCCCTGCTCTCACGGAGCCCCTGCTATGATGGGGGAGCACAGATGATGAGGAGATCAACGATTAATAGACAATACAATGTCAGTAATATCAGGAGGTGAATAAAAGCCCTGAGAGAAATAGAAGCAAGTTAAGTAAGGAGTTAGAGCGTGTTCGTCTAGATGGGGAGGAAAGGACGCTGTGCAGAAATGACACTTGAAGGAGACCTCAGTGAAGGCATGGGCAGGCCAGGTGAAGAGTAGAAGGAAGAGCGTGCGCGTAGCAGGGGTGATGCGTGGAAAGGCCCTTAGAGTGTACCAGCAACAAGGAGACCCGTGTGACAAGATGAGCCCAAGGAGGAAGAGCGGTTGGACAAAGTGATAGCCTGGGGTGACATGCTAGACCTTGTAGGCCCTGGAAAGGATTTGCATTTTATTCTAAGAGTGATGGGAATCCCCAGATGGGTTTTGTCCAGGGCAAAAACATGGTGTGATTTACATATAAAAGGATTATTCTGAATAGACTCCCGGAAGTTAAGAATGGAAACAGGGAGACCAGTTGAGAGGCTGTTGTAGTACACTGGGTGAGAAATTCTGATTATCTGATGAGTAAGTGAAACATGCCATTTTTTAAAAAGAGATGATCATATTTTCCCAGTGCCATATTCTGAAAGATTTTTGTTTTGTTTTGTTTTGTTTTTGTTTTTTGTTTGTTTTTAATGAGAACTGTAGAGGGACAAATGAGTAGCACAATGGGCAGTGTCTTTGGTAATGGTTTTAGAATAAATTTAAAAGTTATTTCCATTCATACATTTATTTGGTATAGGCTGAAAATAACTTATTAAATTAGGACCAAGAGTCTCCTCTTTGTTTCCATCCTTGCTAGCTCTAGCATGGGTGCTGTGTTAGACTCCATTCTTTCTAATAAACTTACACTTTCCTATTTCCTAGAAGGAGTCTTTAACTAGCGTGTGGAAAAAATCACGAGACAAGTATAAGGTTGTGTGTACTGTTACTTAAATATTTGAATATATAGCTATAACCAGGGTGTCATTTATTTTTCTTTGTTTCCTCTTCAAAATGCAGGGTGATGTGACAGTCTGAGATTTTGGATGTTTTCATTTCCTAAAGCTCTAACAAGTGATCGCAAACTAGATGGCTTAAAACAATACCAATTTATTTTCTCCCTGTTCTGGAGACTAGTTTAAAATCAAAGTGTTGCCTGGGCCTTACTCCTTCTGAAAATTCTAAGAAAGATTCCTTCCTTGCCTCATCCTGGTTTCTGATGGTTCTGGCAAGTTTTGCCATTCCTTGCCTTATAGCTGCATCACTCCAATTTCTGCTTCTGTCCACACGGCTGTCTTCAGTGTGTGTGTGTGTGTGTGTGTGTGTCTCCCAATCTCCCTCTTCTTAGAAGGGCACAAGTCATTGGGTTTAGGGTCCATTCTAATCCAGTGTGACCTCATTTTAATTTGATTACATCCTCAAAGACCCTGTTTCCATTTAAGTTCACATTCACAGGGACCAAGGGTTAGGACTTGAAGATATCTTTTTGGGGGACACAATTCAACCAATTACAGTGGGATACAGAACCATTCCTCATGTTAAATTAACCTCTAATTCTTGATTGATCTCCTATACTCTTTAGCCATTCTAGCAGATGACTGGAGTTCTTGGGCTGGGAAGGAGTTTAAGGGGATGGACATATGATAGAATTCTCAAACTACGAATGTGATTAGTCCTTACATAGACTAGGAAGCCATTGTTGATTTCCCAAAGCTTAGTGAAGAATTTCATTGTGTCCTCATTGCACTGACTTATGAAGGTTAACATCAAACAATCAATAAACAATTGGTCACTATTGGACCCCTTGGCCTTTATTGATCCTCTTGGTGGGAGGTTCAGATCAGGTAGGAGAGAAACTATTTGGGGAAATATGGGTCTTTTGGTGCCTATTAAGCCATAAACTTTTATAAACTTGGGCCTCATCATGCACACACCTTTCACTGGATCTGCTTAATCAACTTAAGTGCCCCATCCTCACGAGGCAGAACCCCTTTAAGATCTGCCTGGATAGATGGTTACATATAGAGTGAGGTCTCAGGACCACAAGAATAGAAGATCCTTGCCCCCAAACCTCTTCTACCATTCTGATATTAGAGATCAACACAGTCAATCTTTTAGTCTTTGATATTATATTCTCAGTGAGAACACCATGAAATAATATATTAAATCTTGATGTGAATTATGTTATAAGATCCTTTTGGGGGATCTGAGTGAGCAAAGAAGTTTTGGCGTAGAGATATTGAGTGAGAAATGGGGTTAACAACAACAGACCAGGTACATACACTTGGGACCATCCACTTTACTCTTTTGTCAAGGGTTAATCCTAAAATTAATCTGAGAAGTACATCAGTGATGTATTTGAAAATTTTTTAATTTATTAGTTTTCAAATGAAAGTAATATGTTTATTGGAAATCCTAATACAGAAAAATATATGGTAAAAATTTACTTATCCTCTTTATCCCATTAACTATTAATGATTCCAAAGTTTTCTTTGAGTAGTAACAACCATTAGTGATTCTGAAATTTTCTTTATATAGATGAGAAAGTATTAATGAGTTTTGAAATAAATATTCTCACTTGGAATAGTAGTCACTGAGTTGTCACTTACCATCTGTGTGATATTTGGTAAGTTGATTACCCTCCCTGAATCTCAGTTTCTTCATCTATAATATGAGGATAATAACGTGAGTTACAATGAAATAAGATGGATGTGAAAACACCTAGTATGGCTCCTGGTAGAGCGGGAATTTTCTTATGTTTCCTATCCCTTTTAACTAAATCACAGGTGACCTTGAATATAGAGAACAAATATACTGTTTTGTCACAGTTGAGAGGTCCTCACACAATAATTGGAAGGTCAAAAGAAAGAAACAGCAGATTTTTCAGATTTTGGAATTTTGGCTAACTCACATAGTTAAACTCTTTTCCAACTGAGTTGCTACCCAAAGCTATGGAAGCTTGAGGTTAATTAGATTAGATCAGCGTTTCTCAATCTCAGTGTTACTGACTTTTTTTTTTCTTTGACTTGATAATTCTTTGTCATGGTGGGGGGTACTATCTGGCGCCTACTCATTAGATGCTAGTAACACCCCTCCCTTTGCTGACAACCCAAAATGTCTCCAGACATTGCCAAATGTCTTCTGTTGGAGGAGGAAGGAGACTAGGGCCCCTAGCTGAAAAAATCACTGGACTAGATAAAATGTATTTAGAATTAATACATCTCAGAAACTTCATTCCACACACAAAAAAATTTCATTTAAATAACCATTCTGTTATTAAATTATGAAAATCATTTGCTTTTGATTAATGCTCTGAATGAAATATTTCTTGGAAAAATGCATCTAGAAATTTTTGTTCAGAATGCTAGCATAGAGAATCTTTAAAACATAATGTGTCCCTATGCCATTTAGTTTGAGGGAGTAGTGAGAAATAAATTCAGTATTGTTATAGCAACTCTGCCATTGACTGAAGGCCATCTGTCATTCCAATCAGGCTTGGAAGAGAGCATCCTAATCCACGTGCACCACACCTAGTAGTAAATTGGCACTGGGTGTACATTGCTTCCAGCAATGAATCTCAGTTTGTCTGACACCATGACTCTGTATTGTTGAATTTGTATCATCAGTTGGAGTTAGTGTTCAAACTTAAGACACTACTAACTTCAAATACTAGAAGTTAATGTTAAATCTTATTCATTGACTTTTCTTAATTCATTTGGAAGGGAGAAGTCTGAGGTACTGAAATAAACTTGTTTTGCTTTGTAAGACATGGGAAAGAGATGAGAGATTAGGTTACAATTTAAAAAAAATTAATAAATCCAAATTTGACCTAAAATATGTCACACTGAATATAATGGAGCCCCTGAGGGTAAGTGGAAAAGTAGTTTCTGCAGAACAAGAAAACTCTGATTTCCTGGTTGAAGAGAGCTGTCTCTGTAGATGACTTTACTGGGGTTGCATTTTCGGCACTGGAAAAGACGAACATAATGGAAGAATCCATTATATTCCTCTATGTACAAGGAGAGTTCACAAGACCTCCTTAACATGATCTGCTTCCCAGTAATTTCACTGTTTTGAACATGTATTTTGTGGGTTTATAGGCTTTGTTGAGTTTCTAGAGCTGATATCTGTCCTTGCTTGTTAGGTTAGATGCAGAAAGAAGAGTAAGAACAGCATTATGGTAGCTCTGGCTCGCTCATAATCAAAATATCCATCTTAATTTTATGAGGTTCCATGGGATACTGATTTTTCTTGTGAGGATCAGATTTTATTCTGAGGTCAAAGAGGGTAAATATATAATGTGCAATAAGATGGGTGAAATGGATTGTGACAAATTCAATTTAAGTGTCTTCAGAATTGTTCACTTTGGAATTATCTGTTTTCTTAAATATAGAGATCCATAAATTAGATTTACGAATTTGTTCTTTGTAACCCATAATATAGTTTTA